CCAGGAGAGCCGTGGTTGGCACGGCGGCGTTGCAGGAGGCGGGGCGGTGTGGCGGCCAATGGAGGCTGCTGCGTGCAGCGGGTGCTGGCCCTGCCGCCCGGCGCCCTCCCCCGGGGGCACGAGAGCGCCCCGAGGCGCCCTGGGAAACGGCCACGTGCAGGCGGTTGGCTGCCCCCTCCTGCGGCCTTCGCCCCACTCTCGTCGACCCCGCGAGGAGGAAGAAGACGCAGACTTCGCTTGCTTGTCGCTTCCGATGAATCTTCTTGTGGGCTCCGTGCTCAGGCCCTGTATCGGGGGTGGACAGAACCCCCAACAGTGACACGTCGATTAATGAATTGTCCGTTTTCGGTTCTCGAGAGGGCACCGTGGCCGGTATTTTCCAGGCTTGCGCCCGTCAGGTTTGGGCCTCAGGTCGTTTTCACTAAACCACGTGTTGCTAAAGGGGGTCTGTCCATCCCCGACTGTAACACCCAGGACACGACCCGCGACCCGCGACGAAGAGCTAGCCCTCGGGGTGGGGTCGAGAGCTCCAGGGCCCTCGCCGTGATACGACAGAAAAAGTCGGAGGTGAAGCATCAAGAGGAGGAGGAGAAGCATCAAGAGGAGGAGAAGCATCAAGAGGAGGAAAAGAAGCATCAAGAGGAGGAAGAGGAGGAAGAGGAGGAAAAGAAGCATCAAGAGGAGGAAAAGAAGCATCAAGAAGCATCAAGCAGGCCAACGAGGAGGAGAGGCATCAAGAGGAGAAAGCGGACGAGCAGGATGCCATTCGGTGGAGGCGGAGGAGAACGCCGCGGAGCAGGAGGAGAGCGAGAGAGAGGGAGTGAGAGATATTATATAGAGAGAGGGGGCCAGAGAAAGAGAGGAAGAGAAAGAGATGAATAGAGGAAAAGAGGATAATGACTACAAGGAGGAGGAGGAGGAGGAGGAGGAGGAGGAGGAAGAGGAGAGAGAAATATTGGACACGAGAGAGAGGGAGAACAAAAAAAGTAGGAAAGGGAGGAGGAGGAGGGGTAGAAGGAAAGGTTGATCGTTAATAGGAAGGAGGAGGAGGAGGAAGAGGAGGAGGAGAATGGCGGAGGAGGAGGAGGAGGAGGAGGAGGAGGGAGCGGGAGAGGAAGCAGGAAAGACAGAGGAGAAGGAGACACAATGTCTGGGATTGGAAAATGTTGTTCGTGCCGCACGTGAGCAGGACGCGTGAGCAGAAGAGTGTGCCATTGGCACCACTTCTCGAGAAACAGCACAATCTATAGAGACGGCGCGACGAGTCGACTGCGAAGCAGAAGTGTGAAGATTAGAAGCTGGTCAGACGGAAGAGCGGAGCGCGGATGTGGATATGTCTGCCATTCCGGCGTGAGGCCCAGTGCCCGGGGCATGCCCGTGTTCGGGCGAAGGGCCCCAGCTCGTCGCGCTGACGACCTCACTGCGTGCCGCGCCGATCGTTAGCGGCGGACTTGGCGGCACAGGCCCAGCCATGCCTCGCCAGCCTCGAACTGATCCCTATCCTTGAGACTGACACGCCAAAAAGCGATGACAATCTTAGGGATGCACCTTCATAAACTGAGGGAATCCCTAGGATCGCCATCGTGAGGAGGCGATGCCGAACGTAGGGACAGGGATAGGTTCCAGGCTGGTAAATGCCTCTGCTCTCCTTGCGTGGCTCCTGTCTCCTTCGAGTCGATACGTTTCGCTTACAGCGGGGCGCGTTCCAAGCTCGCCTGCGCCCAGATATCTCGAGCGCTTTGGCCCGAGATCCTCGGAGCCTCGGCGGGCCCGCGGATGGCGTCCGGAGCCTGCGGTGGGCTCGTCGTGATGCTTTCTGGCTTCGCAGACTGCCGACGATCCCCCCCTCCCCCCCGCTCTTCTCAGCGGCGAGCGGGGGGGAAAGCGAGGGAGGAGGCCTTCTCAGAAGGCGGCGGGGCTTCTCAGAAGCCCTCCGGCCTGCTGAGAAGTCTGCTGCGCCTTCGGGAACTTGGCATCGCTCGGACTTGTGCATTCTTTCTTCGGCGAGGACCATCGAGGAGCATCCTTGATCATTTGGCGAAAACACCACGCACGAAACGGAAAAAAACACAGGGAATGGACGTCCGAGCGATGGCGAGCTCTGAGAAGTTGCTGCGCCTTCGGGAAAGGCTTAGAACATGTTTCAGGAGACCAGGAACTCCCGGGCCTGATGAGAAGGCCTGTCTCCCCTCTCGCCTCCCCCCCGGCGCGCCGCCGATCTCAGATGCCGTTAACAACGCTGTGGGCGTGTTTTTGCTAGGTCTCCATTTTTTGCTCGTGACTCAAGTCGGGCGTGTCCCTCTCTCTACAGGGGGAAGATTCAATTATCCCGGCAAAGCAACCCAACAGCGATGTGTAGAAGCATATCTGGAAGCATTGCCCTTGAGATTCATGTAGGAGTCCTGTTGTAGAATTCTGGTGTAATCGCAGTCGCAATCGCAATGGCAGTTGCAGTGGCAACGGCAGTCGCAGTCGCAGCCTCAGCCTCAGCCTGCCTCAGCCTGGGGCTATAGTCACTGGCGGCGCTGGGGACCTCAGCCTCAGCCTCAGTGGTGCGTTCCCCATAGTCACTGGCGGCGCTGGGGGCCTCAGCCTTAGCCTCAGTGGTGCATTCCCCATAGTCACTGGCGGCGCTGGGGGCCTCAGCCTCAGCCTCAGTGGTGCGTTTCCCATAGTCACTGGCGGATCCGCGGATTCTCCCCGGATCCTGCCCGGACCCCACTGGGGAGTCATGATGTTTTCTTTTGAGACCATTAGAAACCTATCAGTCTTTGCTGCTAGGTAAAAATAGTCAAAAAATAGTCTGGGGGCGATTCTTGACTAGTTTTGAATATTTGGGGGGTATGTTTTGGGTATTCTTTTTTTCGCCCAAAATCCCCCTGTAGGGGGGCACGCCCGACTTAACTCTTGGCTCGACCCAACGGTCTAAAAGCGGCACCCTGGCACGCGGACGTCAGGCAGCCAGCACCACGATACCTAGAGACGCATTTTCAAGGCACATCGAAAAACGGGCGGGTGGGCCACGGGCTGATCCTGGACCTGACCAGGCAACGACAAAAATCATAAAAAAACGTCCATTTTTCAAATTTGAGGATCACACTTTACATATAGGTGTATATTTATCTATATATATATATATATATATATATATATATATCTATGTGTGTAAATTTGTGTATATATATGTGTATGAAAAAATCCCCAGCGCGTGCAAGATCATCTACAAGCCCCCGCTGCCTCCGTGGTCGCAACTGTGGGCCAATCATGGGGCCACGTGTGGGTCAATTCTGGGGCCACATGTGGGCATCGACTGGAGCCACGGCTCAGAGCTCGTTTCTTGCCGCGAGCTTGTGCACAGGCCAAAATGTCGCGCGTTGTCTCGCTTATTGCAGGTTGGCCTCGCGTGAGTGGTGCATCTTGTCGGCACCATGCCTAGCCACAAAGTTCGTGATCGTCGCGATGGAGAAAAAGTCCTCCGCAAGTGCAGGGGCTCGGGTAACGGGGGGGGGCGTTCGATATGGAATGTGCCCAGCATGCTTGAGACCTTGAAGGGATCCCTCTCTTCTGAGGGCGGCAGGGAGAATAACGATTGGAGTTCCACTGGCTTCCAGACCTTGGAGTCCTTATCCAATGGTTCTGTATCCAATGCCCTCACAGTATTCTTCCTGCCATCGTCTTAAGCGGCGCCGCGCCGCTCGCGCCTGCCTGCCGCTCGCAGCAAGGCGAAGCGCGACACGCTGCTGGCAGTCTCTCTGCCCGGCGGTGGTGGAGCGGTCGCCTGCAGGCCGCAGGGGTGGGAGCACGGATGCACCGTGGGTCGGATGAGGTAGGAAAGAGCACAGACATGATAACCGTCGATGTCGAAGAAGATGTAGAGAATGTGGGAAGTGGAGGGGAAGACGAACATCCAGGAAATATGGATAATGTGGGGGGAGCCGTGGAATGTGTGCCTATGTATTTGTGTGTCCATGGGCCCCCTCATCGGAGGCCTCAAAATTAGCACCAACACCAGTATCGGCGGTTGTCTCCACCGAAGGAAAACGATCCTGATCTCGGCAAGAGTGATAATGCCCAGGCTTGTAGGTGGCCGAGGGATTACCACCAGCACCAAAATCAAGGATCGTTTTCCCATGGTGGTGGCAACCACCTGTGCTGGAGCTCATTTATTCCAGGACCCAAACATGGAGCGGTGTTGTGCAAAGAGACTTCGGATGGTCGAATACAGTGGAAACGCATGGCAAGAAACACCTTGCTTGCCTCAGGGTGCTCTGGGCTTCTTGGCTGTCGATGGTTTTGCTATGGAAAGCTTGATACACACACAACAACAACAACAACAACAACAACAACAAGAACAATAAGAACAGTACGAACAATAAGAACAATAAGAACAAGAACAACAACAACAACAAAACGGAAGGTTATTGTGGAAGGTCTCCTGTGGAAGGGACTCAGGGTTGGGTTTCTTGTGGAAGGTTTCTTGTGGTCGAGCGCCTACTGTAAGCGTGGGTGTGCGTCGCGTGGGGGGGGGGACGGGGCTGTCCTTCGCGGGGCTTGGGCGTAGGAGGGGTGTCTGTGTCGCCCGCGCAGGAGCTCAGCGGGTCGTGCGGGTAGGGGGGCACGGGGGGGGGGGGATGCTCATACCATCCAGAGCACAGTCAACCCGCATAGGAAGGACGGGGGCATTGCCAGGGATACCCTTGCGTCCTTTCCCTTCGGCCCATCCTTGCCCGCGTTCGCTGGCGGCGCCCCGCTCGCGGGGTGTCGACGCGGCCTTCCAAGGCCCTCGCATCCTTATCGTGCGTCCGGACGATACGGGCTGAATGTACCGCTGCATCCGTGACCCTTCAGCCGGTCCATGGGCGTTTCTGCCGACGTCCGAGAAGGCTGCATTGATGTTCGAGGGTATTGCATCATTGCCCTTCGTCACTGAGCTAAGTTTTAAGCGAGTGCGAGCACGCTGTGGGACTAGAAATCCGAACAGGAATGGGGAGAAGAGGAGCTGTAATAGCGCAAAGGAGAGGGAAATCAGCAGACGTAAGAGTGGGGGGGAAGAATCGAGAAGCTGGGGCAGCAACAGGAAGGAAGGACGAGAATGTCCCCATAGGAATCGGACTGGAAGAGGAGCTGCAAGAGGAAGAAACGCACACACGCTGAGTACTGCTTGAAAACTGTAGGGTTAGCGCTTCGGGTGGGGACACCTTCAAGCAGTGGCGAAGCGTCCTGGCTCGCCTATAGACCTACCAAGCAATGTTCTAAGAACCTTTTCGTGGTTTCCACGCAATGTTCTTAGAACATGTCTGGCGGAGTCTGTCTTGTTTTATCACATCGGGTTTATGTTCTAAGAACATTCTCTCTCCGTGCCCCAGGCCAACAGGCCCCGGCCCGGGGCGTTGTCGCGGGCCTCGGCCCTGCCGAGCAGCGCCTTGGCCTCCGAACCAGCCAGGCGAGGGGCTGGCGCGGCCCGCAGGGCTCGTTTCGATTCCTCCGATTCGATTCGATTCGATACGATACGATATTGATGGCTTCCGATGCCGATGCGAGTCGACTCGGGGTGCCGATGCCGGCTCCGAGTTCTCTCATCGGAGGCAATGTGGCCTGCCGATGTCCGCCGATCCGACGTGTCTCCCGACTCGGCTGCCGATGTCCGCCGCTCCGAGGCGTGCCGATCGCCGCTCCGACTTACAGTCGGGGCGCTGAAGAAGGAACCCTTTTAGTTGGGGAGGGGCTCCATGTTCCTTGATTGCTTCACAGCTTGCCTTATGTTTTCCTTGGGTTTCCGATGGGAAATCGAATTTTGAACTGATGGGAAAAAGGGGCCTCGTTCCCTATTTAGGGTTCATTTAGGTCAACGTCCCGACTGTATCGGTTCGATGCTGGGCTCTCCCGGGCCAGCGGCTCTCACTGGGCGGCGGGGCGGGCCCCAGCCGGGCAGCCGCAGCCGGCGTGGGGGCCCCCCGATGGCCGCCACCTGGCCCCGGGGCCCCTAAGCCCGAGCCCTCGCCTCCGACGGCGTGCGGGCAGAGGCTCAGGAGGGGAAACAAAAACACACACACACAGGCACCATGAATCGCCGATTCCCTAGAACATATAGGAAAAAGTATGGGAGAGGGGGGGGAAGACCAAAAGACCAGGAAAATCATAACAGCGCCAGCCCATTTCCAGAGATGGCCGGCGCCCCTGCGCCAGCAAGGGGAACGTTGGGAAGCGCTGCCTGGCCGGAGCCGTTTTGGGTATCCCCCCAAAGACTCCCAGCCAGGACAGGGCGCCGGCGCAAGCCACAAAGGGCGGCGAGGGTGGGCAAAGCTCCTGACGAGGAGCAGTAGGCGCAGCCCCTTTCAGCAAACACTCCGGCTCCCAGACGCCGCCGCGAGACGCAGAGGAGCCAGGGACACCTGGGGTCCCAGCCCCCAGGCGCCGCGGGCGAGGCGTGGGGTGCCAGCCCCCAGGCCGCATGCGACTGAGGGCGACAAGCACGCCCCGGATGCACCAACTTGGAGGGAACACCGGGGCGGCAAGCCGCAGAGCTGCCGCCCCCGCCACATCAATACTTCCGCCGTTTCGCGCAGAAACTCTTCCGCCTCACTGCCAAGGAAACGCTTCCCCCGCGAAGCAGGCAGAAGCGCGCGAGCCACGCGCCCGCAGGCAGAGGCGCGTGAGCAAGGCGCGCAAGCAAAGAGGCGTAGAGGTGTAGACAATGGGTACTGCGCCTCATGATTTTCCTGCTGCAGAAATAAATTTATGATTCACGAAAATCATAACAGCGCCAGCCCATTTCCAGAGATGGCCGGCGCCCCTGCGCCAGCAAGGGGAACGTTGGGAAGCGCTGCCTGGCCGGAGCCGTTTTGGGTATCCCCCCAAAGACTCCCATTGCACCAGAAGGCGACGGACCGCGCAGCAGCGCCGAACAGATAATGTCGTGGCATATTTTTGGCCCCTGCGCACACGATGCACAGTTAGGCCTGCTCGCCGTCGCTAGAATCGGAATGATCGACGAGCCACTCTGCGGCCGTCAACGCTCCTCGGCTTTGGGCACTGACATACCCGAAAGCTGCAACGCCCCTCCAGCAACCGCTGAAGAACAAGGCAGCGGGCCCTCCTTGTTGAAGCGCCTCATCCGCAAAACCACGCCTGAATGCGCGAGTCCCCCAGGCAGGCGCGCTCCGCAAACGCAGCGCCGCAGCCGCCAGCTTCAAAACAGCCAGGGCGTCGGCGTAGCGAATCTGAGCAAAAGGGATTGCTTCGCGCTCTCCTAGGGAGAACAACGAACAGACGCCGCACAGCGCCCGGCCCTGCAATTTGCAAATGCAGCGCCTGGTTGTCTCGCACGGCTCATTGTAACACTTCCTGTGGGCGAAGCGGACCACGCATGCCCTGCGATCGCCGATGCTGAAACGATAAGACACTGCAGGCCGGCCGAGATTCAACAACTCAGAATATCGCAAGCAAAATTGCCGAGCGATAACCCAGGATGCTGCCAGGAGAAAATATCCTGCGTCGCAACACCATTTGTGAATTCTCTTTGTTTCTTCTGCGGAGGCTCGAATCTTCTCTTTCCTGAATATGTCCTGCGTGATCTTATCCGCACCACGTGCCAATCTTTGCGTGTCTGCCAGGATGCCCGAAGGAGCATTCAAGAGATGCAACACACTCCGTATGTGCGACAGATACCTTTGAAGAGTATGGCCATTGCGGAAGAGACCAACGAACACGTTCAATACCGATTCTGCCGGCGGCCATTCGTCGCCGGAAATGCTTTTGGCCGCCTGGCCCCACAACCTGACAGCTGAAGCATACTGCGGGGCGCTCTTTTTCCATCCCGCGAACTCTATCCACAAAACATGCAGATTGAGGTGATCACTGGTGGATCTCTCGAGCCTCGGTTTCTTTGCTTCTTCGCGTGGGGTGCCAGAAGGCTCGCCCCCTGGGAAGCATTGGCACTGGGAAGCAGCGGCCAACGCGGCGGCCAACACGGCACACGCAGGAACACTCTGGGAACGCCTGGCTTCGCCAAGAACAATCAGTGCGGCTCGCTCTTTCGCCTCGCTGTGCGCGCCCATATCTGGCACACTTGCAGCGCCAAATAGCTCACTGGGCGTGTTGCTTGCACTTTGGGCTGCAGAGGGCGCGCCCCCGCTCTCTACGTCATTGCGGCCCCGGCGCGTCTGCGATGCCAATTCGCGATCAGCGCAGCGATGGCAATGCGAAAGGAAATTGTTGATGAATCCGAGGCTGTGGCCGCCAAAAGCAGGAACGAGACCGAGAAGATCCTGAGCGCACAGGCCACTCAGATCAGAATGGTGGCAAAAACCATTGCAGGCGAGTGCTTCGCACAACGCCGACGCGTCCAGCGCCCTCTGGCCAGCTGCAGCCCGCAAAGCCTGCTCAAAAATTGACTCTGACTGGCTTGCAGATGCTGGTTCTTGTGGCGCACTAGAGGAACTGAAATTTCGATTCCGGCTATCAGAAATGAAGTTGAGCATTCTGAGCCATCACACTACGGAGTAGCAGGCCGAGCAGGGCGAGCGTGCCACATGCACTTTTCCGCACACGCAAGCACGCATGTTGTTTTTCTCGGCGGTCGATGCTTTTCTTCAGCTCACATGCCCCAGGGTGCGTCGTCTGGGAAAACCCAATCGATGCACTGAAAACCGCGCGCAGTCAAGTCGGCAATTTCCTGCGCCTTTTCAGATGGCCGACTGGGCGCATCTGCCAAATTCAAATGAGACGGCACATACCAGAGATGCATTAAATACGATTTCTGGCTCGCGAGAAGCCACAGATTGCCGATAAGACAGTTCCAATCGGATTTCCGCGAGCAACCCCGCACGAGAGCGCCTAAAGCACTGGTGTTGTC